GATTAAGATTTTAATTCAGAATTGATATAAGATCAATATATTATATATATTTTGTAAATTATACTTATATTGGAGTATTTTATACGAACGCCAGGCGTTTCTGCCGAAAGTTATAAATAAAAAATGAAAATTTAATTCTTGAGATAATCTAATTTGTTACTTTCGAAGTTGCATAAAGTTGAAAGATTTCAGTCTTTATTACGTTAATTGATATTGTGAATCGTGCAGAATTCTAATGTCAGAATGAAATAGGTTCTCACGCTTTCTTTCTTTCTTTGTGCACGGTTGAGAACACGGTTATCCTTTGGCATCCTTTGGCATTTGAAATGTTGTATGTTTGAGAAGAAGAGGTCGATCCAGATAAACGATTCTGAAAACGAGATTTTAATGGTTTCTACTCCTGATCGACTTTTTTAGTCTGTTAAACTAATTATATAGGCTAACTCGCGCTGCGATTGTAAAGTACTAAGTTTGCCAGTACGAAAGTAAACGTGGCGGTATATAAAGAAAAATAAATAAATAACAGGGAAAGGAAGGGACACAAAGGGAGATTAGCGTGATCTTCCATTTTAATGTGCGGCTGTGTTGGCGCGCGGAAATGAGAGACAGCTGGATGATCGACGGGGTTTCTCAAAATTACACAAGCAATCGTATAAGCTCCTAAGTGTCGACGAAGATGCGATTGAAAGTGCCAAGATTTTCTTCGATCATAACCGACGACGCCCCGGAAGACTCACTTAAGATTGTTAAGTACACGCTCGAGCCAAATTTAACTGACGGGTAAATTCCCGAAAGCAAGACGAATTAAAGATGATAGAAACTCCCTTAAGTATCTCTCTTGCTTAAGAGAGAATATGAAGATGCAGTAACTCAATTTCAGTTTATTACATTTATTTTAAATTGCCTTTAAATATTGAATATAACGACATTGTTGTAAAATTACATTTAGAAAGAAAATTAAAATTTTTTGGTTAATCTGTTAAGTAAATAATTAATAAATAATTGATATAAGTAGAAATAAAATATATCAATATACTCTCAAAATTATTTTTGATGTGATACGATTGGAAATTATATAACTTTAATATAACTGATTAATTTTAGATAAAAGATAAAATATAATAGAATTTAATTTGATAATTACTATATGTATATGTATAATTATCCATATACGTACATAAAATGAAAGATTAAAAGATATTAAATTAAAAATAGTTGAAATCGTTTGTTTCAAATTAGATTAAAAACCCTTGATTATATTTGGAATCCAATTTTTAGCACGATAATCTGAAAGTTTCAATAGTTTTACAAAAAAGATATGGAAATTTTCCCGACTTCCCCCCCCCCGATATTTAACGTTTAAACGCGCGATAACAATTTATATGAATATCTAAGAGCCAAAGCAAACATGACTTTGATCCCTTCATAGTTTACGAGAATTCTATTTTGACGGAAGACTATTTTAATTGGAAACTTAGCAGGATCAGTCGGCTACTCTTAGCGCGAACGGGATATGAGCTTCAATGTTTCCCGAGCGTATTTTCATCGTGGCCGCAACCATATGGCCATATTACCGAAAGTGCGAAAGTTATTTTCGGCCGGGATTCACTATTTCGAGAGCTCGACGTAAGTCTCTCCGGGTACGGGGTTTGTTGTGGGGGGGGGATGTCTGGCAGCGTGCGGGCGAAATTGCCGCGCGATTTTGCAAAACAAGCGTCTTCTTAGATAAGACGATAGACGACATTCGGCGGACACGTTCGTCTGGCGTCAATGAGGAGGTTTCATTCAAAAACATTTCTACGTTCCATCTATATGCGTTTCGTATATAGATATTTGGATATTTTCGTTCGCGTTCGCGAACAGGGACGTTTGACGAGTCGCTACGAAACCGATAGTTTATATCTCTACAAGCGATAAATAAAAAATATGTACATTAAATATGTACATGTTTTTAAGTGATAGTCATGTGGAAAATAAACGAGTACACGAGAATCACTCATTGAAGAAAATTCGTTCATTCGTGTTTATTCGCTCTCTTAGCTTGCTTAGTCTGGATCCGGCTTAACGGACACTTTACTCCTGAACGTTCGCAGCCTTCGCTATTACGTCTCTCGAGTAGTGATATTTCCTTCCATATCGTTGTCCGTGTATTTTATTATCTCAAAAAAGATCTCTCACCTCTCAAAATAAACACGGCGTGTAGTAAATTATACACGTTTGGACTCGCGCGTGCGTTTTATTCAATTGTTTTCTGTAAGAAAATATTATTTTTCGTAAAATCTTACATTTATAGAGATCGATCTACTTCGAAGAGGTATCATTTGCATTAATGGCGACGCAATCGATATCAAGGTGCAACTCAGCTTCCTGAGAATTTTTTTTGGAACTAATATATATTTTATCGCGATATTAGCATTTAACGTAATCGTAGTAATAAGGAGAATAAATTTTCACATTAATAATTATCTTATTCGCCGTTTAATCCAACCAATCAGGATCCGGCCATTATGACACGTGACACGTTTCTTTTCTATAATTGATTTCGTACTTGTTTACATGTATCATGTTAATGCGCCGTTTTCTTTCTACTAACTACTTTACTATGCGAGAGACCGGTTTATATTGATTTTGTTTAGATACGCGATGCGGATTGACCGTAAATAACGAATTGGCCGGACGCTTATTTCCATTAATATCGAGCTTTCATCTGGTATCTACGTCCCGTGAGAATTTATTCTTGTCTCGAGATTACGCCAGTCTTTCCACTGAGCGTCTCGCTTCTCGCGCCCGTGCACGATGCGTCGACGTGCATCGTCACACCCGTCGGGTGTCCCACCAGTATAGTAAATTCCCGGAGCGATTGATGATATTTTGAGATATCTGCCGCGTATCTCGCTTCGCCTCGCCTCGTGTCCCCGCCTCCGCCGCCTCTCCGGAGATGCATTCAAAAGCGGTCCCGGCACGAGTTGGATAATCTCCGACATCGCCTGGCACGTCTTGGCGACGTCAATGCGGAGGTTTCATTCATCGTTCCGTATATTTTCGATTTCGTCCTGCCCTCGTCCCCGCTCCCCTCTCCCCCCCCCCTCTCATCCCTCTCCCCGTCGGTTCCCTCTTACGTTCGCAGGCCTCACTTGTTGCTGCTGCACTGACGCATCATCTCTCCTATATATAGCCCGCGCCGAAAACGTCCGATATTATTTTCGACATTCTATTCCGCCGTTGTCGATCATCGAGGATCGAGGGAGGCGAACGAAGAGGGAAAAAGTATGGAAGGAATGGGCGAAGTGTCATTACGCGGCGACCTAAAAATAGCCAGTGAGATGTTGCGGGTGCGGTGCGGGGCCGTTATTATGGGCGAGATAGATGGATTCGCAAGCGATCGCTGGTCATTCCGGAGTTAACGAC